CAACTTGCCTGCAGTTTTTTTTTTTTTGATCCTTGAGTTTTTTTCCCTATGTATTCCTTGTGGCATTAATTAAAACTGATAGATTAAAGTCCTCCTTCATTTATAGAAAAGACAGATGGAAGCCATATTACGTCGGGGTGACGCAATGTGGTTTTTCCTCTATCTTTTTCATACATATTTCTGTGGCATCTGCTCTGACGACCTATATTCACTGGTATCCCAACTGTATGAATTGTACAAGTTTGGCATCTCAGTCCCACCTTTTCATGTTGAAGCAGTTAAATGTAGCCGTCTCTTATACTTCAACAGCTTCTTATCTCGCACTTCCCGACAGTTGAACTCCCTTCCGCTTATTTGTTTCCCTGATAACTACAATGTTCAAAACTTCAAATGTAATGTCAATCAGCATCTTCTGCTGCTTAGATCCTCCTCCTTCTTTCATCTCCATACCCAGTTTTTTTTCCCTAACTTACACTCTTTGTAGCTTCTTGAGTACCAGTGGCACTCCCGCCTTGTTTAGAGTTAAATTCTTTACATACATACATACATCATGTATATATATATATATATATATATGTATATATATATATATATATATATGAACTTCAGTGTTCCTTTATGTTAACTTCAGTAAATATAGATATATATGAACTCAATATATATATATATATATATATATATATATATATATGAACTTCAATGTCAATTTTTATATTTACACACGCTCTTTCTCTGATATTGAGCACTTTATCCCATAAATATAGCACACCTTAAGAGTATATATATATATATATGAACTTCATTGTTCACTTTATTTTCACTTCAATAAAATATATATATATATATATATATATTTAAACTCAATATATATATATATATATATATATATATATGAACTTCAAAGTTAACTTTTATATTTACACACGCTCTTTCTCTGATATTGAGCACTTTATCCCATAAATATAGCACACATTAAGAGTATATATATATATATATATATATATATATATATATATATATATATATATATATGTCCGTGTCCTGGATATGACGATAAACTACATCCAGCAGCAGCAAGGCCTCTGGTCAGGAGGTTTTGAGGAGTGTGGAACCACATAGTAGTTACCTCCGCAAACTGGTATCAAAATACTATGAAAGTGTGAAAATATGTTTTAATAGCAGCAATACATTTTTGAGAAAGAAATTACCAGCAATAAAAATCTTGTCGGCATTAAATAACCTATTGAAGTGTTGATATGCAGTAAAACAAACCATATCAATTCCTCGACCCTGATCTGATGAGAAGAAAATCGGTCATCTGTTTCATATATATATATATATATATATATATATATATATATATATATATGTGTGTGTGGGGGGGGTATTTAGGCAGCAATCTTCTTTCATGCATATTTCATTGAATACGACAGACAAGGTGCTTTGATTTACTTTTTTTATGCAATTTCTCATGCAATCTAATAAATTTTTTTCAGATGATAAATTATATAAAACTCTCCGAATGTTCTTTTTATCCGAGCGCTTTCGGCTATACATTTACCCATTTTCAATGATTAACTATTTTAACTGTTAAATAAGAAATAGTTTGTTGCATGTATGTATTTTATTCATTTTGCAAAACTCGACCATGATATTGTGTCCATGTTATTTTATTGGGTGTTGTTTTTTTTTGTATTTATTAATAAAGCTTCCATTATTTTTAACCATTTCTTTTTGCATGTAGATGATGCTCTTATATTTGTGTTACGAATATATATATATTATATATACTTATTGTGGCTTTAATTTCTTTTGCCCAAACAGGATAGAACTTCTACATTATAATGATCTAGGAGAGCATCTTGCTGAATATTATCCCATGACTGTGACAATTTCTGAACAGAGTTTAATGACATAAAGCCTATAATCTACAGGTCAATGTCGAGGATCGATCTCACTACAGTGATCATCGAGGCTAGAGCGCTGAATCTTGAGACATGGCATATGACGTCACGATTTATATGTCGACAAATATAAAGAATTCAAACAACGTATGTTATGACCTCCAAGATTAGCTCGCTGAGCATAGTTCAACCTATTCCGACCATGAAAGGTAATTTCCACCATAACATGGACATGATCGAAACATCATTATTCTCTTCAAATTCTGTTAGTAAAAACAACTTCTAACCTACTTTGTGGAACAGGCTCCTGAGAGAGAGATTCTCCGGCCAGTCCAATATTAACCTCTGCAAGTTTAGGGTCAATCCAGATCTATCCCCCATATAATCTACATTCTTACGTCCATATATCAATCCTATACAGTGACCTTCTAACAAAAGTATCACTTGGGGCTTATGATGTACAATAACACTGAAAGGATCAATTGTATTAAATATGTACAATGGGGTTGAATAAGTTATTGTACACATGAAAATATTTCATATTTTTATTTGTAACATTAAATTAACAAAACGGGAATATATATCTACTGTATCAGATTGCATACTAAAAATGTATGCATATAAAACTAAATAATATCCTATGGTTAAGAAAATATAGCAAT